CCCGCCCCGCCCCTCCCCCGGCCTCCGAGCCCCGCGTGCGCCGCGCTCAGGGCCCCTCCCACCCAATAAACTGAGCGACCCGGAGCGTGTACGCCTGTGTTAGGGGGGTGGGGGCTCTCCTGAGGACCCTCCTCCGCCGCCCATCGCGCTGCCTGGCCCTTCCTGCACTCGTCGCCCCTCAAGCCAGAGTCCAGCACCGGAGAGCTGGCTGGCAGTAAGGGCTTGGAAGTCTCCATGAGGCCCCGCAGGACAGAGCGTCGAGGCTCTTTGCCCAGGTCGAGAGTCCAGGACTCAGGAAACCTTGCTGTCAGTCCTGAGACGGACACTGGGTTGGAGCCTGTTGGTCCTGCTGCTTGGTCCAGACCCTGGGCACCAGGCACAGGGCACAGGGGAACAGGAACCCCACCCCCAGGGGCCAGTGACTTTGCATCAGTGGGGCTGGGGGCTTGGAGGCTTCACTTGGTGCCTGGTCCACTGGGGCCAGAACAATGAGGGCCAGTAAATGGCAGACAGCCCCTAGGCCACCCTCCCCTGCTCTAAGCACCTGCTTCTGGCCCATGCCTGGTGATGTTGCTGCAGATGGAGGCAGAGTGAGGGGCGAGCAGGGTCTCCGACCTTGCTTTTGGGAGAAGGGCTGGCCCCCCTCACCCCCGGACTTTGCTATCTGCAGGGGCCTTCGAACTGAGGCGTTCCCCTGCTGGTGGTAGGCTGGCTGTTCCCACGGTCCCAGGGCTGTTGTGACAAACAAGTGGCTCCAACGCGTCCGTCTGAGCCCCAGCTCACTGTCAGCATCAGGGCTCCAAGGTGTCAGCGCGTTTGTGCCACCTCTGGAGGCTCTGGGGCAGACTCCATTGCCGCTCTGGCTCTCTGTGATGGCTAACGACCTGCGACCTCATCCTCTAGCCTCTCCCCGTGGTCACATTGCCTGCTGCGTCACACTCGCTTTGGAAGGGTACCAGTGATGCACGCAGGGCCACTGCACAGCCAGGGTCCTCTCTGCTCAGGGGCCTGCGCAGAGCTAAAGCTGCAGGACCTTTCTGGCCACATAAAGTCAACATGGGACCCAGCGGCGGGCCCTGCTGTCATGGGCAGATGCAGCAGTGTGCTGGGTGCGGGCAGAGAGGATGCAAATCGAGTGAGGCCATCAGGAGAGGTGGGCGCACCCTCTGAGGGCCTGGGGTGTCTCTGCCCAGTGCCCAAGTGGGAGTGGGCTCCTCGAAGCCCTCATGAAGGGGGAGTGCAACAGGAAGGCAGAGTCTTTGCCCAGGCAGCTGTGTGGTCGGGACTTGGTTAATGGGGTGGCGCTGGCAGCTGCAGACCCATGTGGAAGGGTTAGAGCTGGCAAATAAGGACCTGCTCAGTCCCCGCTCAGTCCCCACTCAGTCCTTACTCAGTCCCTGCTCATTCCTTATTCAGTCCTTACTCAGTCCCCACTCAGTCCTCACTCAGTCCCCGCTCAGTCCTCACTCAGTCCCCACTCAGTCCTTACTCAGTCCTTACTCAGTCCCCGCTCAGTCCTCACTCAGTCCTTACTCAGTCCCCGCTCAGTCCTCACTCAGTCCTCGCTCAGTCCCTGCTCAGTCCTTACTCAGTCCCTGCTCAGTCCTTACTCATTCCTCACTCAGTCCTCACTCAATCCTTACTCAGTCCCCGCTCAGTCCTCACTCAGTCCCCGCTCAGTCCTCACTCAGTCCTTACTCAGTCCCTGCTCAGTCCCCGCTCAGTCCCTGCTACGTCCTCACTCAGTCCTCACTCAGTCCCCACTCAGTCCTTACTCAGTCCCCGCTCAGTCCTCACTCAGTCCCCGCTCAGTCCTCACTCAGTCCTTACTCAGTCCCTGCTCAGTCCCCGCTCAGTCCCTGCTCAGTCCTCACTCAGTCCTCACTCAGTCCCCACTCAGTCCTTACTCAGTCCCCGCTCAGTCCTCACTCAGTCCCCGCTCAGTCCTCACTCAGTCCTCACTCAGTCCCCGCTCAGTCCCCGCTCAGTCCCTGTAGGGTACCTGCACTCCCCTGTTTTCGTCACTGCCATGGTAGGGTGAGCCAGCCGCCCCGCCTGGTCCTGCCTATTCTATACCTGTGCTGGGCCGCACTCCACAGCCCACTGCGGATGGCACCGAAGTCCCAGCTGTGGGCGTCTAGGAGTCCTGATGCTCCTTTCAGACTCAGCAGATGACAGTCCTGGCCATGTGGTCTGGGGAGTAGGTTCCCTGGCCTTGGGCTCCCCTTCCAGCTGAGTGACAGACAGGCCCCAAGCCCCACTCCCTGGGCCTGGCGGAGCTCCTGGCCTTGCTGCGCCCTACTGGGGTGACTGTGGGAGGCAGAGATCTGGGACTGAGCTGGTGCCTATGGTGTGGGCAGGGGGCCAGGGTTTTCCTG